CTGCCAGCACTAGCCACAGTCAGTGGCAGGGATGCCAGGGCTAGATGTGGCCAGGCTGGATGGAGCTGGGGGTCCATGGGTGTGAGTGTTGGGGCTGGGGGGAAATGCTGGTCTGGGAGGGGCTTCCCCTGGGTTGCCAGGCTGGATGGAGTCAGGGGTCTAGCAATGATGGGTGGGATGTGTGCGCCCAGGGCTAGTGGTCTGGCTAGGGCAGATGGGGCCAGTAGCATAGCTGGGGGGAGCGGAGGCAGCGGCTGCTCCCGCACTGAGCACAAGTGGCGCCTTGTCAATTTCCTGGCGCCTTTGTACTCACCCGGGGGAGCGATTTAAAAAAAAAAAAAGGTGCCACCCGCTGCGGCGCTTTTATTTTACTCACCCGGCGGCGCTCCGGGTCTTCGGCAGTGGGACCTTCAGTGCCGCCGAGAACAGCCGGAGCGAGTGAAGGGCCTGCCGCCAAAGACCCGGCGCGCCACCGGGTGAGTAAAAGCGCCGCAGCCTTTTTTTTGTTTTTTTTTATTGCTCCCCCTGTTCCCTCCACCTGGCTATGCCACTGGATGGGGCCACGAGGCCTAGAAGAGTTGGGGCATCTTGCCTGGGGTTGCCAGGGTAGATGGAGTCAGGGATCTATAAGGAAGGTGAAGGTGGTGGTGGCAGGGGGCCGAGGGTGCTGGGCTGGCTGAGAGGGGGCGGATCTGGCCCGGGATGCCCACGTTCTTCTCCCACCTCATTGCAGTGAACCTCGTGGCCGGTTCTACGCTGCTCAGATCGTCCTGACCTTTGAGTATCTGCACTCGCTGGATCTCGTCTACCGAGACCTGAAGCCAGAGAATCTCCTGATAGACCAGCAGGGCTACATCAAGGTGACGCTGCCGCCCCTCGCCCACTCCTTCCCTTCCCCATCCCAGCGCTGGCTCCTGGCTCCCTGCAGTGATCTCCTCCTTGCCCAAGTCTCTCTCTGCTGCCATCCCCTTCCCAAAGCCAAGACACCCCCAGAAATGTAACACAGCCAGAATACATCAATCATCTGCTCCCTCCCCTTCCCCTCCTGCTGTCACAGCCTCCAGGCTGACCCAGCTTCTCCCCTCTGTGTGTTTTGGCTCCAGATAACGGATTTTGGTTTTGCCAAGCGGGTGAAAGGCCAAACCTGGACTCTGTGTGGGACCCCAGAATACCTGGCCCCCGAGATCATCCTCAGCAAGGTGAGCTGGGGAGGGCCTGTCTGCTTCCTGATCTCTAGCTGATCCCTGGTCACCAGGTGGTTCCCCCCATCCTCAAATGTTTGGTGTGTGACCCTGGCCTGCTTTCCCTGGGCAGGGTTATAACAAGGCTGTGGACTGGTGGGCTCTTGGCGTCCTCATCTATGAGATGGCAGCTGGTTACCCCCCATTCTTTGCGGACCAGCCCATTCAGATCTATGAGAAGATCGTCGCTGGCAAGGTATTTGGGCTGGGGGAGGGGACACTTGTGTGATTTTTTTGGGGGGGGGGGGTTTGCCAGCTAAAGCGGGGTGCCAAGTCTCCGCGACTGATCAGAGAGATGCTCACACGCTGCGCCCCCGACATGCTCATGCCCTCCCATGCTCCCCCAATCTCCAACACGTGGGCATCCTCCCTGTCATGAACCCCATTCCCCCTGCACCCCAACACATAGACCCTCCCCTGCCTTGTACCCCTGTTCTCCAACACATAGACATCCTCCCCATTGTGTCCCCCACACATGGACCCTCCCTCGCCACGTACCCCTATTTCCCCAACACATGGACTCCATCCCCCACCCCATCATTGTGCTCCCTGTAACTCTCATGGGGACTCCTGGAACAGGTGTCTTTGGTTTTCTTATACACTGTTGTGAGTTGCAAAACCCCCCACAACCCTGCTACGTTCATAGAATCATAGAATATCAGGGTTGGAAAGGACCTCAGGAGGTCATCTAGTCCAACCCCCTGCTCAAAGCAGGACCAATTCCCAACTAAATCATCCCGGCCAGGGCTTTGTCAAGCCTGACCTTAAAAACCTCTAAGGAAGGAGATTCCACCACCTCCCTAGGTAACCCATTCCAGTGCTTCACCACCCTCCTAGTGAAAAAGTTTTTCCTAATATCCAACCTAAACCTCCCCCACTGCAACTTGAGACCATTACTCCTTGTTCTGTCATCAGGTATCACGGAGAACAGTCTAGATCCCTCCTCTTTGAAACCCCCTTTCAGGTAGTTGAAAGCAGCTATCAAATCCCCCCCCTCATTCTTCTCTTCTGCAGACTAAACAATCCCAGTTCCCTCAGCCTCTCCTCATAAGTCATGTGCTCCAGCCCCCGAATCATTTTTGTTGCCCTCTTTTGTTGCAAGACTAAACATTCCTTAAACACATCAGTCATCTCCAGACACTGGTAGAGCACGCATCGCCATAGTAACCAAGAGCCCATAATATTCAACTGCCCACTCCAGCGCCTTCTCGTCAAGGATCTCGAAGAACTCGTGTTGGACACGGTCAGCTTTAAAGCTAGTGGGGAACTCAACAGGCCTGGGTTCTGTTCCCGGTTCTCCTACCACCCTGCTGATTGACCGTGGGCAAGTCATGTCTCCCTGTGCCTCAGTTTCCCCTTATGTAAAATGAGGATAGTGATGCGGCAGCCCTGCTTTGAGATCTGTGGAGGAAAAATGCTCAATAAGAGTTGGGGGGTGGCTGCTAATTAACCATTTCAGCTCCTGTGTCAGTCCTCAGTAGCGCCCCCACTTCTTGTCCACTCATTGTCCTGGAGTGTTTTTAAAGGGCTTGTTATTTATTATTAGGTGTATTACAATAGTGCCTACAAGCCCCAGTCATGGGTCAGGACCCTATTGTGCTAGGTGATGTACATATTAGGTGTATTATGGTAGTGCCTCAGCGCCCAGGCATAGCCCAGAACCCCTCTGTGCTAGGGGCTGTACATTATTAGGTGTATCTATGAATCTAGCCACGAGGGCAGGGCAGGGCAGGTAAAAGCCAGACCTCTGTCTCTCCTCCCCACCCCAGGTCCGGTTCCCGTCTCACTTCAGCTCGGACCTGAAGGACCTGCTCCGGAACCTGCTGCAGGTGGACATCACCAAACGCTTTGGCAACCTCAAGAACGGGGTCAATGACATCAAGAACCACAAGTGGTTTGCTACCACTGACTGGAT